CAGCAGAAGCGGAGGTGTTTTTTTTCCACTCTTTCTCACTCCTTGTCAAAACTTGGCACCCACATTTCCCACAATGCAACTCAACCACAGACAATCTGCAAAACACATCCAAACACTGAGATGTAGGTGTGTTATAAAAACCTATGAACCGGGCTGAGCTTGAAGCCAATTTCCGTAGTAGCCAAAGCGTGGAATTACAACTTCCAGTTCAACTTCCATGACTTTTTCCCTTACCATCTACCATACTATTTCTCCATACACTGTAAAAGAGACATCTGTCAAACTGCAGATCATTTTTGGACTAAAATCAACTCTAGTACAAACACTCCTATAGTCCTCATTTAAACCATAAGGTCTTAAAAGCTGTAAGATGCGTTAGAAACCCAATCTAGAGATTTGTCTTTTATGTTAGCGAGTGGATCAGCTGTGTTGCAGGATAAAAGAAAACTGTTTTGTGTTTGCTTTATAGGCACAATGGACGCAAGTTTCTCCTAATGTGAGTGTTTTGGGCCGTTGTAGCGTGTTTGCACGGGTCGGCTACTGTAGTACTTAGTTCTCTTTATACATCCCTGGTGTGTGTTTATCTAATAGTTTCAAACAGCTGACATCAGGAACAGGCTACAGAGGTCAGATAGCTTCTTTCTTACTCCATATACCCAGATTATTTTCAATATAAAACTTGTCGTTCCCCAATGAGACTGACTCAAGTGACATTACTTCTATCTATCAAACTTTGCATAGCTTTTTGAGACTTCACAATATGTTTCAAAACAGTTCTTAGACCTCTGAGGGTTAAACAACTTTTTTTCACATCTGCAGTACAAGTCCCTCAAACCAGTCAACACCCACAACTAGGACCAAATTAACAGCTAAAATGAGGAGTAATGAAGGAACGTATGACGTAAATTCATTTAATTCAAGAACAAATATTTGCTTTTCTTGTGTACTTTTTGGATAGAGAACACACTGTGCTCTTTGGGGATTGTTCCATTCATTTTTTTTAGATGCAAAGTGATGCTCGGGGCACTCCTGAAATACCATAAAATATGGGTATGTGTTGGTGAATGAAACCACAAAGTGCAGAGATGTCGTGCAGCTTCACGTAAGCGGAGAATCGTTCCATTCTTCTGTGCCCTGTGGCAGTTTGGGTTCATGAAAGACCAGAAGAAAAGCCCTGAAATATCATTCATTCAATGCTACCAGATAATCGATCTGTAGAAATAGAATTGTAATTCTATGCTAAAACACAATGAACCTCTAATTTGTCTGAGTTCTGATTGGAGCTTAGATTGCTATATATAAGTTTATGATAGCTCCGGGCCTTTTTCTGCACAAAAATACAGATCACTTAAGATTTCTGCTGAAGTGGCTTCAGTTTTGAAGATTAAATTATGACTTTTTGGGCTTAGCATTTGAAGTCATGCCCGCACAGGCCTTTATTCTGTAGGTTATAGTAAGTTCAGTCGTAGATAGCAGAGGAAGGGCGCTTTTCGACTCCTGTGGTTGATATCAGGGGGCGTTGGGACATTTTTAACTCCCTGGCCTATCTGTTGTGGTGAAGGGTGTGTTCATCTGTGGCGAGGATCGGCGCTAAATGTCTAATTATGAATGATCCCACATTCTCCACTTTCCCAGGGTACAGTAACAGTAACTTAATGTGACACATGCTCTGTAATCAGTGATGTCAAACATCACGAGGCACCGTCTCACAGATGGAACTATCGGGGACCCTGCGGTGCAGAATACTCGTCCCCCCTGTTATCAAAGCTTTCATTTTGTCCGTTTCACACGAGACAGGCCATGAAGCGGTTTTTCTGTGGTACTGACTAAATACCCCTCTTTGAATACCAGCGACAGGATGCTCTGAAATACGATGTTAACACAAATAAATCTTAATTAGGCCTAGTGAAAGTAAGATTTATTGACTTTGATACAATCTTATTGGTTTTCTGGCTTTTTGTGCTGCTAAAAAAATGTTCACCATATGGATAATGTTTATTTGTATGATTGGGTGTGGGACAACGAAGCAATTACACTGCCAGATTGCAGTTTCCGCCCCAAGATTTAGATTTTGCAGCAGGTCTGTTTGTTTCTGTTCCCAGAAATCCAAATGGTCCATAGATGAAAGGTGCTGGACCTGGAAACGAGACACAAGCTGCCTGGTTAAAAAAAAAACAGGTGGAGGACCAGAACTACACCCCTTTGGGCCGAGTACTTAGCTCTCCACCTGAAAATCACTGATTAAAACAGGCGTAAACAAACAAGGCTGCCAAAAAGCCTTCAACTTTCCCAAAATGAACTCTCATTCTTCATCCAAAGTTGAATCATTAGTCATACACAGCACAGATCATTAAGCTTATGCCACTTAAGGTGTTTAGGAATATCATTTTATGGGTGACCTCAGGTTGGAAAATAAAAAGTACATTTTAATCACGCAAGGGACCATACTTAAACCATTCATCATCATTATACATATTACAAGGGACTGCTAAATTCAAATATGAAAGAAAAAAACACTTATTCTCTACAATAAACAGATAAGAAATCTTAATAAGAATAAAGTAAAAATACTTTTCTGACCACCCCTATCCCTTATAACTTTTGTACAGTCTCTAAACACATTACTCATGTCTGTTCTAATATAATTTACCTAGGGAAACGTTATCTGTAAATCCTATTTTCGCTGTGCTAATATTTATTCTAAAAGTGACAGTTATGCACACAATTAACACATATCATATCTTCCTCAAAAAGCCTTCAACTTTCCCAAAATGAACTCTCATTCTTCATCCAAAGTTGAATCATTAGTCATACACAGCACAGATCATTAAGCTTATGCCACTTAAGGTGTTTAGGAATATCTTTTTATGGGTGACCTCAGGTTGGAAAACAAAACGTACATTTTAATCACCTAAGAGACCGTACTTAAATCATTCATCATCATTATACATATTACAAGGGATTGCTAAATTCAAATATGATTATTCAATAAACTGACAAGAAATCTTAAGGAAAAATAAAACCTATTTCTGACCACTCCTACCCTTTATAACTTAAACACATTACTCATGTCTGTTATAATATAATTTGCCTATTAAGGAATCAAACCTGTAAATCCTATGTTTGCTCTACTGATATTTATTCTAAAAGTGACAGTTATCTCAATCTCAATCTTTATTTATTCATATAGCACATTTAAAACAACCTCAGTTGACCAAAGTGCTGTACAGGGAATACATACAATATAAAATAACACAATGGGGGTAAAATAATAAAACAATAATTCAAAACATGATGAAAAGCACAACAACTAGAAACATATAAAAAAACACATACAAATGTAAAAATGTTATGTTCAACTAGTATTAAAAGCCAGTTATGCACACAATTAAAACACATCATATCTTACTCAAAATACCCAGTCAGAAAAAACAGTTTTGAGCCCTGAAAGAGAGGAAGAGTGAACAATATTTTGCCTGTAGACATGGTGACACCCCTCTATAGCACACAGTCTGATGCATATAACCCACGCCTTGCTGCAGGGCAGGGTGGGTGTCTGTGGTCTCCCTCTCTGCCTCTGTGTCTCCACTGGGCCACCCTACACATTTCTCCCTGGGGCACCCTTCCAAACCCCAAGGTAGCAAACCATGAAAATGAGAGCGTTGCCCTGAGTTAAAAAAAGACATGTTTTGATCATCCTCTTCAGCTATTTATTCCCATACTTCTTCTTCTATATCTATAGAATTATATTTGATGGTGAAAGTGGGAATTAAAGTTCAATCGTTTAGGTTTTCTGCTACCTTACCATTATTGCTACCAAATTAAGATTCCCCTTGTCTCATGGCAACCACTAAGGGACTGAAAAATGCGTCATCTGGGACATGATACAGTAATTTGTGGCTTCGACTATAAATATGATACAAAGAGAAGCATTGTGAATTCATCTTTCCCGTATGCTTTATTTTGTGATACCTTCTGAAACTGTCATAATCTTGAGCCAATCAGATATATATTGATATATTGTTAGGATATATGTGGGGTAAAGATGTTAAGATATATATTATCTTGTTTGCTAAAAGTAATTATCTTTCTTCACTGTGACATTAAAGGAGACACGTCATGGCCATTTCCACTGATCATAATTCCATTGTTGAGGTCTACTAGAATAGATTTATATTGTGCATTTTTCCAAACTCACATTGGTTTCTCATACAGCATCTCTGTAAACTACGTGTATTCACTGAATTTCACTCTCTGCCTTTAACGGCTCGTTGTAGCTCCAAAAGCTCCAGCCCCCACCCTCCCTGTGAGCACAGTGTGCTCTGATTGGTCGGGACGTTGTGAATCGCGCTGAGCTCCGTGGAGGTGTTGTTTCCTTGTTTAGGATACATAGCGAAACACAGCCAAACTCATCCTGAGCACACACAAACTCACATCCGAAGTAAAAACAATAAGTGTGGCTTGATATTGAGTAAGAAAAAGGTTGATAAACGCTGTGAGAATGGGTCTGCCTGCAGCCAGGGAGGAGAAATCAGCTGAGCTGCCTGCTCCCTGCACACAGATGTGTGTGTGAGGAAGTCCGTGGATTGGTCAATTTGGACCAATCAGCGGGGGCTTAACGTAACGGCTCCGCGGACGTAACGTAACGGCTCCACGGATTGGTCCATTTCGTTCCGGGTACGGCTTGACATCATGCCATCCCGGAAGAATCAAATGGACAATGACGTATCTCCAACGAGGCGTTTTGGGGAGGTATTTTCTGTGTTAGAGTTTTACTCGCTACAGGGTGTACTTTGAGGGTTTGTGACTCTGCACACCGTTTACATGCATAAAAACCTTCATAACACACAAGGGGACGGGTAATAACCGGAAAAGCATGACACCTCTCCTTTAAGGTCAATTAGACCCCCCATTTCCCTTTTAGACGTCGTATGAGTACATTATTATAAAACTCCAATTAGAGAAATCCAAAAATAATAATTCGGGGCTTGAAGGGCTAGTGCCCCTTTAAATAACTACCAGCACAAATCACAGATATAATGTAGAGGTTATACAAATCTATTTGGATGTAGCCAGGTTTTACAGCTGCAGTCCTTTAAAGACTCAACAGAATTAATGCATTATTTTCCGGTTACAGGTCATCAGATAAAAATCCTATTTATAAGCGTCTTTCATAAATGTAGGAAAAGTCACAAACTACCAAGCTGAAAAAACAATATAAAACATGTTTGTTTGAGTTTTCTTTTGTGAGTTGTTAGAGTATCCATTTTCCATAGGCCAAATGGACGAAGAAAAAACCCTCTGCATCTCATAAATGTCTTTCCTCCCAGTCCATATAAAACACAGCTATGTTAATATGTAAACAATAACATCCTACAGTCCAGACAGACGACATTTTATCTTAATTTTGGAAGAGCACAAGAAGAAAATGTTCTTATTTTCCTTCTGTGGTGAAATGGGTATTTATAATGGGAGACCAATGTCTGGATACCCACCATCCTTTCCTCCATAACTGTTCATTTTTGCAGCCAATCCATTTCTCCTCATGTGCAAAATGTCCATCTGGACCTCTGCAGTGACCCGGCCCACTCAGGCACTGAACCCAGAATCAGTTAAATGCACTTTAAAGGTTTTCTAATCTTAATTTAGATTTAAGACTTGTACTTGTGCCCTTGTATTTTTACCTTTTAGTGGCTTTTGGCTGTAATATCAAAGATGAGCCAAACGTTTGTTTTAAGCCACAGCATAACCACACGTGTTCCCAACAACATTAATGCCCCCTAAGGTTGACCATGAGAGGGAAAGAGAGGACACGATCCTTTTGGGTCCTCTCAGTGGTCACTGGTCATCGGGCACGGCCCAAAGAGCAGCCAGTCACAGAGCAGCAGCCCCTCACAGTCACACCGTGAGTGAGAGACTGCTTCACATCTCTAACCAGAAGTTTGGGTGTTCCTCTGCACTGATACTTTTCAGTTTATCCAGCAGTGCTTACAATGGGATTTAAATTAAATGCACAGATAATCGAAATTACAAGGCGGCGATATGGAAGGGAGGACATGGTAATTCTTCACGCAGCCACATAAAAGAGGAAAGGCTAGGTTTGTGGTTTTCTTGGATTTTCTGGGATCAGAGTTTATTTATATGAGTCAGAGCAGGTTACACTTATACACTCCAAGTGAGAATGTTCAAGTCAAAGCTTAAATCAAGTGTATCCTTTTAAACCTTAGTTAAACGCTTAAAGAGTTTCAACACACCCTATGAAACATTAAATGAGCACAAATCTCAGACACTCAGTCAGAACAATAAAAAAAGTCCCACAAAAACCTCATTAGGAGAGGAAAACTGAAGAAAACTTGGCAAAAGCATCACTCAGAGATAATCCCTTCCCTGCACTGTAATTAGTCACACACACATGGCCAAAAACATACACCAAAAACTTGCAATCAGTCAAGCTAAATGCACAAGTTACTGTTGCAGCTCCTTTAGGCGTCTCCCCTTACTCCTGTCCCAAAATGCTGAGCTATGGTTAGCCTTAATGACTAAATGACAACAAAAATAGACAAATACATCTTGAATGGCATACAACTTAATAATATGTGTTTAAGTTTATATAAAAGATTTCCATACTGTACTTGTGGACACACTGGAGTTAGTGTGTTATTATTTGGACATAGGGATGATGTTGGTCAAAATTGATTTAATGTTCCATACACACAGACATGTCATTAGGGTCGCCTGTAAAATTAAGGGAAAAGACCCAAAACCCTACACTTCCTTAACCTATTTGCTTTTCATTTTTAAGCCTATAATTGTGATTTAATTTTTTTGCTCATAAATGTATATCAATGCAGGGAACAGAATAAAAACACGTGCTTCCTCTTTTCTGTTGACCTTCTATTTCCAGCTTTATGCAGACAAATATACACAGTCAGTGGAAACTGTGATGGCGGGGAATGCATATATACAGCCTTAGAGGATGGTCCAATTCCCTCTGGTCATCAGGTTGACCACGGGTGGTTTCCATGTTAAACACCACTGTCTGATCAGTGAATATATGTCCCTGAGTGTCCTCCACTTCAGAGCTATTGCTGTCTACAATGTCTCTAGGAAATGGCTCAGACATGCCGCCCTAAAAAAGTGCATTGCTTGCTCTTTTGCGTTCTGAAACCAGTTATTTACACAATGTATTTTCTTTTTTCTAATCATGGAAAGTGTCTGGTCCAACGTCCATGAATTGAATCCTTGTACACAAAGTTTGTCTAGATGACACAGTGTAATTTACAAAAATAATCAGGTAGGAAGCAGACACTTATCCAACTTGAAATGAATGTGATTCTCCAGAGAGCAGAAATGCACTTAATTGCACACGCAGACAATAAATTGCTGTATCTGAGTTCTTAAGATGATGTGAAGTCAGTGCAGTTTGTATGCATCAGGTCACCATGGAGGTTACAGACAAACTGTGGCTCTGCGAGGTCTCTCTGACAAACCTTACACTTCTGCCCCTTGTCTAGTCTGAATGTTCTTTTTGAGGCCTGCATCTGCACGGAAGCGAGAGAAAAAGCAACAGGGTTAGGAAAAAGGGCAACAAGAATAAACACAATTATGGAGCAAAAAATATGTGAAATAGTCATTAACTTACCCATATGACCTTGTGCCGCATGAGCTCTGCTTGGCCCAAAGCCTTTTGCACCATCGACATCCGCCTCTGGTGGAAAGTCTCTCTGAGGGATCCCACTAAGAACTGAGAGACCAGTTGAACAGACCAGGAGTCAGGCAGCAGCTGGATGATCTGCTCTGCTGCAAAGACCAGAGGGTTGTGGTTCAGCAGATCCACGGCAGCGCTGGTGAGGTCTTCTGAGCTCAGGTAGATTTGGAGCAGGGTGAGCAGCAGGGTCTGTCTGAGCTGGGGGTCCCGGCAGCAGAAGGCCTCTGCAGCCTGGAAGTCTCCTTTCTGGTGAACAAGCACCTTCAGAGCCTGGGAGTGTTCACCAGCCCTGCCCAGGAGAATGGCTTCCTCCATGTGCAAGTTTGCTGACTTAACTCTCTCTGCAACGAGAATAATGCAATATAATTTAGTAGCAATTCATTATTTTATGAGATTAAGTTTCCATTATGAGTTTATTTACTCATACGGCACCCAACACACCATATACAGTGGAGACGTCATAGCATTTGGATTCCCATAACAGCTGCTGCAACTTCCCTCTGGTCTTCCTCAAATCTGCTTCCTCTTCCTCCTGTAGCATCTCAGTAACATATGCCAGGGCCAGACGGTTGTGATGTCTACTCTCCTGGGGGCAGATTACACCAATTATGTCTCAGTGTATTTAATAAAGGAGTCAGGGATATTGAATTAGCTGGCTGCTGCTGTACACACCTCACTGTTTAAATCGTAGATTAAAAACTCAAGGTACAAAAGCATCGCCAGCGGGTATTTCTCCAAGAGAGCAAGGATGTCTTGTGTCTCAAATCGGTCATCTGGTGGACGCTTGATGAAGATCTGCACCCCTATCTTTTTCAGATAAAGAAAGGCTGTTATAAGAAATTTCATTAGCAGTCATTGTTGTATAAGCAAATCAATGTGGTTAATGGATGGCATCTTGCTGTGTGTTTAAAGCTGTAACACATAGTTGTATTGCATAGCAACTCTGCCCTCTGCTGTTAAGTTGAAAGCATGAAAAAGGCACCTCCTGGTTTTTTCGAAGAGTCCAGTCTGAAAATGTCCACACAACATCTTTGTCCTGCAGTTGACTGAGAGTCCGAACTATGTGTCCGTATACATCTGAGCAAGAGGGGTCTTTGTGGAAGCCATCTGCAATTTTCACCCAAGTCTGGAAGCAAAAAACAGGCAAAACATGTTAATTAATGCCAATACATTGTCAATATATTGTCAATACATTGTCAATACATTGTCAATACATTGAATACGTTTATGGGGAAACAATACCTTAATTGCATCAATTAGATTTCCATGGCTTTGATAGAGGGAACCTAATGCAAATAATCTGTATATAAAAAGAGATCAAACAGCAAATGGTCCATAAATTAGACACAATGTCTGTCTGCCTGTTTTATTCAAAAATAATTGGTAATTTAACAAAAAAATCACATCATCTACTCAACAAATGATCATGTTTTACCTGTTGTGCTGCTCCAATACAGGAACACAGTGGTCCAGCCTGCACTCATTGGCTAATGCCACAAGCTGCTGCAGGTTTTCAGAGTCTCCCAGTTCTACGTACAGCCTCAGGAGGGCGCAGTCCACCTCCTTACTGCACCTCAGGCCTAGCTCAGTCCCCTTTACTGCTCTGAGAAAATCTCCCAGGAAGGCCAGGTAATGATGAAATGTGCTGCTGTCTCCCTGCCAGAGCACCTGGAGATCTCTGCCCTTGTTCGCCTGATCGAGCTGGGATTGAAAGTCTTCGCTGAGACACGACTGCATGTCGGGGTAGAGGTGGATGATTTCTCTGGGGTCAAGCTCACCTGTACTGTTCAAGAAGGTAATGAGTATTGCTTTTTGTTGGATCTCATTTGGCAGAAAAGAGCCAGTATTCACAAAATCCACTTATTACTGCACAGTGTGTTCTGATTTATTGAGCGTGCATGCTTTGAATTTCGAGTGTCGTGTAAGGGTTTTTATTCTCACATGAATAGATCTTTGGCCTCGGAAAAACCCTCCTGGTAAAAATGAACAAACCCAGCCAGGCAAGTGATGGCCTTCAGCAGCTCCTGCCAGGAAAAAAAGAATGGTAACATAAAACTAGGCACATATTGCATGACATATTTAAATATTGCCGTAATCATTGAGGAGAAAAACTGTCTTTAAATAATGAGGGCAATCTGTTGCAATTAGTAAATGAAAAAAATCACAAAACCACGCCAATAATAAGGACTGACTCATCACTTTGTTAATTCCAACATCCTCCCCTCTAACCTGTTACCTGGCACACACTGCACTAAATCTTAGACACCATCAGGTGCATTCATCCAGCTGGGATACACCTACAGTATCAGCAGGCAACAATGTAGTCTGTCTACACCTTTGGATCCTAGTGTAATCCGTTCTTCAGTGATGTGTAGGAATCTATACAATTGTAGCAGCACTGAAAGTATGCAGAAAAAGTCGAGATATCATTTAAATTGTTTCTTAGGCAAGTGTTTTGCAGTCAAATAGATATTCCCCTAATAGAAATAACCTATATATTCTATGTTTGGACATTATAAAAGGTGACTAAGCTCTTAAAGTTAGCTTTTAGCAACATTTGTTAATCCAAGCCTTTTTAATCTAGTACAGCACACTCAAAATGTAAATGTTCATCCAGACTGAAATACTTCTAGTAATGCTGGATCGACTGCCATTTAATTCAGACATTCATGTTCCCAAGAGGAAAAATCCAACCAGTTCCAAGTTTTTACTTATCCTTGGAGGTATTTCAACATCTTGTACATGGATCGGCACACAATTTACACAGTAGTGTATAGAGACAGTTATGGTTCCCTGACCAGTTATGCTTGTGAATTTGGTGATCCCATGTCAATTTTTAGAGCAACTATAAATTTGATGTTTGTAGTTTTGGGAAAAATATTTCAACTGGATTGATCAAATATTCCCTTTGTTGTTCCCTTCTGTTTCTCTGTGTTTGCGGGCTTTTGTGTTCCATGTGCTCCTCTGTTTTCTCTGTGTGTTATTGTCTGTGTTCCTTGCCGAACTCTCCAGGCTCCCTGATTGCAAAGCTGATTCACTCATCACCTCTCCAGTAATTCAACCCCTCCTTTTCACACATTCAGTGCCAGATTGTTGTTATTGTGGTAGCTAATCCCAGGCTCATTTTCCAATTGAATATTCTCAGTTAGTTCCCTCATGTATAACACTTGAATAAATGTATTTTGGTCTCCTGTGCTTCAGGATACCAGCCTTCCTTTCTGCTTAATCCTGATACTGCCCCTCGCAACCTAAGTTCACCAACGGCCAAGCCATCTCCTTTTTGGTTTAAGTCATCTCATCTCCTCTTAAAGGTCCCCTATTATACTGTTTTTCATCAATATATTAGATATAGGTCTCAGATATATACAAAACATGTCTGTGAAGTGTTTGGCTCGAAATACCAAACAGATCGTGCATTGTAGCATCCCATAAACCCCTCTGTTTCAAAAGTGCTGATTCTCTGTCTGTTACTTTAGATGAAAATAAGGAGCCACTCCCCACGCCCCTCTGAGAGATATTTGGTTAAAAAGAACACAATGGTGCTCTAGGAGGAGATTCAGCTGATAAGGGGGGGAGGTTACCTTGGTTGGTGATTGGCTAATGGTTACACAAGCCAAAAAATCGTTATGACATCATAAAGTGGCCAAAATCTGATTAGCTCATTTTCAGACAGGTTTTTATATAAATGGATCAGGACAAAAAGTAAGGGGGTCTTTTTTCCTGAAACTGTCAGAATCTCTTTACACAGAGGGGACACATGTTTATGTATAAAAGATGTGAAAAAGTGGATTTTGCATAATAGGTGACCTTTAAGTGCATTACACTAAATCTAAGAAACGCCATCTGCTTTTGTATGCTCTTGGGTCCTCTATAGAGAGCTAAACCAATACAAAATAAAGGACAGAAGAAAGGAGAAACACTATAAATGTGTCTTTGTCATTTCGTTTTCATATGAAACTGTGTTCTGTAAGAGAGAGCATTCGTAGCAGGGACACATTTGCATTCTGCTATGTGTCTATAAATTGAAGTTCACCTTGTATGAGTCAAGTGGACAATGCCCTTGAACTCCATCCAGCAGCAGTAAGGCCTCCTCGATCCTTTCATGCCTAACAAGTGCCTGGATCTGCTCTTCGATTGGCACCAGGCGCAGGCTGAAAATCTCTCTCTCTGTGAACACTAGAACACCATCTGAGGGGAGATTTGTTTTGGGGTTTCAGAGACACTCAGCGAGTAGGAAAAGTAGGTGCAAGGATGATTGACTGATTCAGTGCAAACTGAGACAGACACGGCGACATCTTCAAAAACAAAGCCACAATTTGACAGCTTCTCAGTTTGCAATATGCCAGGATTTGGTGTTGAACTGATGTTGTCTGGTTTACCTGATGTGGAAAGTAGTCCCTTTGCTCCAGTGAGACTCACAGTCTGTTTTCGCTGCTGGTCCACCATGCTGTAGACCGACAGCACTTGGGGCTGTAGGGTCAGGATGTAGGGGAAACACACTCCGGCTGCCAACACCTCCTGAGGCCACTGCAGGGGGGGGCGCTGGCATATCCCCGTCTTCATCACAAACATGCCTGAGGGATTAGTACGGAGTAATGAGAACTTGGCAGAATAAATATCCCCTGGCTAGATGGAAATATGGGAGAGTGATATGAGATGATTAACTGTATTGCTGTCCAGGAAAGGGAGCATGTAATGTCAGAGAGAGCCTGCAGAACAACATGTACCACAAACATTTGGCTTACCCAAAGATTCAGGCCCGTTCAGGAGGAATTCCCCTCGTCCCACTGAGGTAACAAAGACACATTGCCTGCTGTGATTGTGAGGAAAAAGCTCCTGGCTGCTCCCAGTCCGGATATCACAGAGAAGGTACCTGTCGCTGGTAGCTACACACACACTGGTGCCATCCATTGCCAAGGCCCTAGGGTCGTAGAGCAGTGGGACTTCCTTTACGACGTCCCACCTGTCCACTCCCACCACGTGGATCCGGATCAGCTTCCTGCGGCTGGAGGAAGTCACCATCTCCACACATTGTGCCTGGGCTGAGGGCATTGAGTCGCATACCTCAAACAAAGACACATGCTGGATCTTCTTCAGGCCAGGAACGGGCTCTAAGGAGAACATGTTGAGGGCAGTAATGCTCCGGTCCCACAGGACCAGCAGATGGTTGTAAAGTGGGACTACCCTCAGTTGGGTTACTTGGTTGCTTGAGCCCAGTTTTCTTGCCCTACCTTCTCTAGTTTTGCTCTGGCCAGATCCCAGGTCTGTGCTACTTGAAAGGATGAGATGCTGGACTGTTGCATCTTTGGTGCCTATATACACATGTGGGTCACAGCACGCAATGCACTGGATGCTGGATTTGTCCTTTTCTTTTGGAGCTGATTGCTTTTCAAAAACGTGTGTTTGTGTAAATGCTCTAAAAGCCATTGCAAGTATTTAAGGGTGATAATAAAAAATGTATGTGCCTATATTAAAGATTTAGATCTTCTGTCAAATATATCAAATAAGACGTCCCTACCTCTCTGCTGTTCCCCCTTCCTCTTTGATTCCTCCACAAGTGTGTGAAGTGTAAAGTAGTCTCGCCTCCCCATGTGACTAAATCCTGACAGGAAATCTATGTCAGCATTTTTACGCTGCTCATCCTGCCCTGTGAGGACACTTACGCAACTCTTTCAACGGCTTTACCAAGAAAACCAACTTTTACAAGTGTCTAAACTATGCTGAGGAAGACACATATTTTGATGTGTCCACAGTTACGGTCACTTGTATTTTTGTCTTGTGCATGGAACAAAGTGGCGTCTTTGGTTAGTAGATAATGTACATGCAGAAGAGCAAGTGATCAGCTGATCATACCATATATGGTCGATCTCGGTTTGTTGACAACATGAATGAGCTGGGTGTGATGAGGTCAAGAGGCAACAAAAACACGCTTGAGGTTTGTTTTCAGCAATGATTGTCTGAATAGTGATGGTTGTAAAAAGACGTGGTTTCAAACCTACCATCACAGCTATATTTGTAACGTTGAACTTTGTGCCCATCCTTAACCTAGAGACTCCTCCTCTGGATGGTGTCTTTGAAGCAGAATAAGAAATATTAGAATAAGCAACAGCAGGCCTAGAATGATATCCACAGGAAGGTCTTTATTGGAACAACCAATAAGCATAAATCATGCATAATGTTATGTTTCTGCAGTGTGAATACATTTATCCAGGTAAACATATCACAGTAAGTAAACAGCAGCAACCTGTGTAATCAAAATCAGACCTGTGGAAAAGCAAAGCATATTTTGGGGGTGCTACTAACAATTATTTTTCATCATGAATCAAACTTGTGATTATGTTGTTGATCGTTGGATAAATCAACAAATTATTATTTTGTACATTCAATGTAAGATAATACTAATTAAAATGAGCCTCAAAGTCCAAAGGGACATCTTCAAAACCTTTTTTTTTTTTAAAATCCGATCCACATGCCAAAATCCAAAAGATATTCAGTTTACTGTCATACGAGACAAAAAAAAGTATAAAATCCTAACTCCTAAGAATCTATAACAAACAAATGTTTGAGATTTCTTTGAGAGTTTTAATTTGAACAAACAAAGAGAACATTCATCAACCGTGGAGCAATGGCAGCCTAACATTAAAGAAATATGTCTATCCTTATGGAGACAGCCAAGTTTTTGTGTGTGGGCAACGTGAGAGAACTAATGGTAATTTATGACCCAAATAAGCACCTGACATTTAGAGTTTGTTTATAGACCAGGCATGCAAAGGAGAACAGGAGCTCTTGTTGGTTTACGGATAAAGCTGTGACCTTTTCATGGAAAGGTCACTTCTCCCTGCCGCAGTCGGTGCACAAGATGTTGTCTCGCTGGGTGAGGAAGCCGCGGCCCACCAGCGACACGGAGCACTGAACGCAGGAGAAACACTCGCTGTGCCACTGGCGCTCCTCGAAAGAGATATACTTGGCTCCTGCCAGACCTGCACACATCAAGCAAAGATACATGAATGATATAATGTGCAGGTTAATGCAAGATCTTCATCTTACTAACCTGACAAGTCCTACACAAATGCATGTAAAGGCCGTGATTATGAGTAAGGAAAACTGCATGTCAGAGTGCATGAAAATATGAGCACAGCAATGACTCACTGGTGATGGGCTTGGTGCAGCCCACACACTTCTTTGCATAGAGGTTGCTGAAGCATTCGAGGCAGTAGGGGTAGTTCTCCCTGGAGGTGAAGCGCTGACCGGGCAGCTGCTTCTTGCAGCTGATGCACAGGAAACACTCACGGTGCCAGGGTTTGTCTTGGTAGGTCACTCCACCTGTTGTTATGGCCTGAAGGTAACACAAATCCATGGGTGAGAGTGACACTATGCACCTTTTTTACACTGCTCCTAGTACTAGGATGGATTAAATGCAGAGGTCAAATGTCACTGTGTGCATGTATTAAAGACCATTAAAGAGGGTTTCATCCTCCAAATACTCGATCTATATCGATGTGAGTGTTAGATTAAAACAACAGTCAGGGGGATTGACTGCAGCGGTCAATTACAATTAGATGTAACCTTACCTTCTTACAAGCACAGCACTGGTAGGCAAACTGCTTCTCGAAGCAGGGCACACAGAAGTAGCCGTTATCTTTTGGGATGAAGGACTTGGTTCCTATTGGCTGCTGGCAGCGGTGGCACAGGAAGCAGGTCTCATGCCAGCTGTTCCCCTTGTATTCCATTTTACGGGCTCCTGGCACAGGGGAGCAGAGCAGCTTAGTCAGCATATGGTACCTCTATGACACAAACACAGAGTGGCCCAAAAATAGCCCTGCATCATGGGTAGGAAGTAGACAATCTTAATTATCTTGGATACAATTGTTGGGGAGGAAAAAATGGCATGACTGTCTAGGGTTTTAACTGTTTATATTTAGATATTAATTAGTTGTAGGCAATTTCTTTCTGCACTTATTTCCACACATATACAAGCCAACATTTGTTAGAAAGTCCTTAAAGCACTCAGTCATTTTTGAAATGTCAACATCTGAATCTCCATTACAACTGGGCAAACTCCATCGACTGAGGAAGATTGTGTGATAAACTGTTTCCACGGTCAAGAATAAACTTTCAATCCCAACTTTTAGATCTTTTTCCTTTTTTAAAAGACTAGACTGAGTGTTTTCTACTGTATTCCTGTGCTGCCTTTTGCACCTTTACCCATTTACACACATGCTCTGAATCAGCCTCGTTAGTTTTCCAGCCAATCAGCTACCTGCCTGCTCTCCTGCCTAATTACCTCATTGCCCTCACCTGAGCTTCACTCTTTAAATCAATATCGGTCTCTTACTAACCTTAATTCACTCACACGTGTACACGTACATCCCAACATTAGATAAATTGTCCAAATGATGTTTAAATGAACTGAGATAGCTACAATAACCACTGAGTACTGACAAACGGTTTAGCAAACTAATCAGCACACAGTGCAGTCAATCATGCTGTAATTAAAGGAATAGCTTGACATTTAGAGACTTATGCTTCAATGCTTTTTTGCCCCCTTCAGTGTATAACAAAACGACAACTTAATTTATCATCATCAACCCTATTGATCGCCATCATTATACCTGGCATGACGGTTTTCTTGCAGCTGGTGCACTTGGAAGAATAATCGTTGGCGTAGCATTCAGTGCAGAGCAACAAATCATCCTTAGCTGCAAAGGCCTTTTCCACCAGAGAGCGGCTGCACTTCGCACATTTGAAACACTTCTCATGCCAGTGGCGATCCTTGTAGGACATGTCCTGTTGTTGATATTTAACACATTATTTATTTTACTTGTGGAAACTCTGTAAGATAGGATATTCATTAGGACGTTCTTGTAGAAATAATGAGTTTGTGTTTTTTCACGGGTCAAAATGTGATTTAAACACATTCAAATGTTAATCACACTTAGATGATATTATAAATAAATAGCATACGTTATTATTTTAGACATTACTGACATCAAAGCCAACCCCCTCCTTACCTTGCAGTCACAGCCAATAGCCAAAGAGCAACCCTCACAGCAGTTAGCAAACAGGTTCTCATAGCACTTAGTGCAGTACTGCGTGTCCTCTTTCATTATGTACTTCTTCCCCAGCAGGGAGTCCTTGCAGTAATGGCAGTCGAAACGCTCCATGATGGACATTGTTGTTTGGTTTTCTTAGCTGTAGGTCAAAGAGAGCAGGAGGAAGAAAAATTGGACAATGAAGAAATGTATGAAAGATTGAAAGTGCCCTCTAATAGTCCAAGCAATCTCCCCCTCTCATCAAGCAAGTAAAGAGGCCAAGCAATTGTTCGCTTCTTTCAAAAGAATCTGAGCAGTGCTGTGTTAAAGTAGTCTCTACCTCGGCTGATATGTGGCGAGGTTGGACTGCAGAGAGCGAACAATCCAGGCACAGCGATGGGGCAGGGAGGCAAAGGGGTGAGGCAGGATTAGGGGTATCCACTAAGGGGGGGGATCTTCTATAAATACTAACCCTCTTATTAGCGGTAATCTCTGGGGAGAATGGACATGCTCCACTACATCATTCTGCACCTTTTAAGGGAGCTGATGGTGCACAGAGCGCTACGCCCGATTCAATCATTGTTGTTCATTCAGGGAATGTGTAAAAAACAATGTGTAATGCAGGTTTAGGACTAAAAGATGACACTCTACAATTAAATGAATATCAGTGCCCAACTGTTTTATCAATGTCCCATAAATAAACACAATATTTGTACTTTTCACACACTAATATCACTTTGTATATTAATGCCAATGTTCGGCAATTTGGATGCTGACGTGTTGGACGCACTTAAGGCCTTTGTCAGTGGCAGCTACAGAACAAGCAGTTGCAGATGGCTTATGATAGGTGCCAGCAGCTTGGTGTCTGCCAGGTACTGAACTATTGCTATTGAGAGAGCATTGGCAGCACTTCAAGAGGTAAGCTGCGGGCTGTGGATGTCCAATTCATCTGTAGTAAAATAATGGAGGAGGAACAGACATTAAAGTTTGATGGTGACCATCCTGCCGAAAACAATGGACTTGTCATTTCATTAAAAATACATATTTAGTGTGTTGTTCTGTATCAAAAGATGATACACACAATACAAATCACAAGGTTAAAAATATTCAGTTTTTTGCTTGTAGCTGGCTTTGGTTGCATGGTGTTCAACAGTGAGTGTCGAGAGCAAAAGAGGAAGAACTAATTGGCCGAAATGCAATCTCAGAACCCAACCAGCTATCACTTGAAGACAGAAATGTTGCTTTTTATCTACCTGGCTTCTTTGGAACAATCTGATTATAGACTTTTTCTTTCAACTCCAACTTGTCTCAATTTGCTAATTTAACTCAAAACATTGACCAGCAGATGGAAGAGGATATCTGGACCGGATATCCGCTGGCTGCACCGGAGAACCAGCAATATTGGTGATTGCCCCTAGAGGCTAAATCATTAACAGACCAATAACCAGTCAATATAGCACAGGCAGAAAACTGGGTCAACTTTAAAAGTACTGATTGATCAAATGTACTGTTAGTACAAAGATAAACCCATTGTGAAGAATACACATGATAAGAATTGTCATCTAAGTGAGTCAATTATAACAGTTTGCCACAATACCAAACCCTGAAACATTGGGAAAATAACAATAATCTAAACATTAACACGAACACTTGGTCAAAACAAACCCTTATATTTTTTGGTAATGTGATTATGTCATATTGGATCAATGTTGTTGAAGGTGTTAAAAAACGATGCCTGAAACTGTCCTTTCTAACCTGAAACAAATCCCAGTTCTCCAGCATCTATGACTGACAGCTGCCTAATTAAATTTGAATCTATGAACATGTGCTCATATCAGTTTTCCAAAAGGATCAGGGGGCGGACAACTTCATAAAAATAGCCTGAGAAGACCACCAGTCCATCCCACGGCCTAATCCCTCGTACACACACACAGGAAGGTCAGCGACAGGGATGAGGCTGAAGGAATGCTACTCTGTCTAGATGAAGTCTGTCTTTTCTCTTTCACTAACACTCCTTGTAAAGATATGTATATATACAGTTAAACCCTTGTGAATAAATAAAATGCAATCCACTTTTGGACGGATGTTGGAACATGGGCCTGCGTTGTATGTAGGTGGCAACTACAAACCATTTAGGAATAATGTAAGACTGTGGTATTTTTTAACTGCGAGCTGCGTGTTATGTAAGGCTTTCAGCACCAAATAAACCATATCATGTCACACATTTCGCTGTAGGAAATATTTCTGATTTGATATCATGCCATCCTTCAGGTTTTAATTTATTTTAGGTGGATCTGCCGGATTACACAGAGTCATCTGCTGGTCTGGATTAAGTTACTCCTGTATTGTACCCTTGCTCCCTGCTGGTGTCCAGATGAGCAGATGCAAATCACAAAAGCATGCCGACCTTAAATAAACCCAGAGCTAACTGTGGCAAATATAGTCATTGCCTCTCAAAAAGCTTCTAATCTTCGCTGCATTGGTGGCTGCTGCACAGCGCGTCTGTCGTCATGTGACGTCAAGCCAGGGGTGGAGGTGACCTACATTCATCAGCAAACAAAAAACTCTTCTCCCTTCAAGTGTATTAACATAAAATGACAGTCTTGACAAATCATTTGTAGCTCAACAGTGTTATTCACTGGATGTTCAAGCAGAGATTCAGGCATAGTATACTGTATTTATACTATCAGTGATAACCTACATTTGTGCATGCCTGATTTTCGTTTTATTACAACCCTGATAGATAACAAGTGGAGGTCTTTGTCTCCCGGATTTTTACTTTCTACACCAGACTGTGCCCACTCCGCAGAGTAAAAAGCTTGCTGATCTTGCGTATTCCTTTTTGCCCGCTTAATCCTCTGAAGTCAACTTCTGAGCAGCTGCCAACAGATTTCGTATGCGGCCTGTCCAGCCCCAATAAATAGGCCTTTATATGACCTGGACTCGGGTGTCCTCTTATCTTAATGTATTCAGTCTTTACAATAATGTGGCACTGACTGTCCCCCCCCCTCCACCTCCAAGTCAAATTATCTCAGAGAAGAAGAGAGGCATTTACTTTGGTGGCTCCTTTGAGGTGGCGACTTGTTGGACACTGACACAGATCAACGCGACACAGTTGCATCTCTCTGAAGCACAAAAGCCTCGCCGCTCCAGAGTTGACAGCCGGTTGGCATGGTGATGACAGCGTAAGTGGCATCCATTAAGTTGAGATGAGGGGCGGCTCTGGGAGTTAATGAGAGAACTCACACAAACCTGCCCCTTTGAACAGGCCTCAGTACTCTCCTGCATCGTGGAGAGCTCGCTTTCAACGCAGCGCTTTGGACTGAACAGGATAGTCACATAGGGGGTTGGAGATACAATCTACTAAATCCACAATCCCTCCAAACCTTACACCCCTACAGGGAGGCCCTATGAACGTCTGGGTACGGCCCCCCTCTCCTAGCCAGTTTCGGCAAAATGAGTCATGTACGAGTGGGTGACAAGACAAGTCACATCGCCAGATATTTGATCTGCAATACTTAAGAGGAGAGAAAGTGTTCTACTCCTAGGAATGCACAACCCAAATGTTCTCCTCTTCGATTCCTCGCCTCCTCCCAGCCCACAGATTCTGTGGTATTTGGATTAACCATGTAGAGACGAAGCGCCTGATTACCTTTGGGTGGAAGCCAGAGAACAAAGCATACCACAATATTTCACCTACATAAGAAATTTAAACCTAGAATGTTGGTCCATTATTCACAGCCTGCAACACAGAAATAGCATCATGAATTTAAAAAAGAGAAATTCTACCATGCTTGCTCCTCGAAAAATCCCACTCTTTAATTAACCTCAGAGAGCTTCAGAGAAAAAAAGCCCAAAAATATTTAAATTGTACTCCTGCTTTCAAGGACACGTTTCCACTAATAATAACTTCAACCAGTGCCTTCTACTGAAACCTCCTAGGAATAGTGCAGCACAAATAAACAGGTTTACCGAACATTTTCCAGATTTAGCCAAACATTAGTATGGCAGGAATATAATCAAAAATAAAATGAAATCATGTATTTCCTCAAATGTTGAATTCTTTGTGTGTTTAATTAAAATAACACATAAAAGACAACAAAAAACTAAACTAACGGTGGTTTAAAAGGATTCCTGGACGGCTGAAATTATCATTATCATAATTTTTTTTTCTGGGACCCAGGTCTAAATCTGCTATGAGTGGTCAAATTAGTAAATGCTTGGCTGGCCCTGATTAATGTTTAGTCCAATATTCACTCTCTTCTAGCTCTGTTTTTGGTCTCCTCATATAGAGCTGTGCTGGTATAAGCAGTCACTAATTTAGTCTGAATCTGCGGAGGTATTTTGTACAGTATGTTTTTAGGAACATTTACCTGAAAACAGCTGAGGTAGCTTCCGAAAACAATGCTATGAGAGCGGTTAAAGTGAACCAAAACAGTAAAGCTGCAGGCGGAAAAACCAAAACGATTAGCTGAAAGAGGTTATGGCCTGTTGCTTTGTTGATCTGAGGGCAACTGCAATGTCAGGATATAATTCACTGTTGGTTTGTCAAGACACACCTTTGACATCAGGATGTCAGTGACACTGTCTTGAGTTCGGAAAAACTGCAGGGACAATCCCCGCCTGCCACCTGAACTTTCACATGAATCCCCAAATGACATGGACGGATTATTTGAGCAGAAGCAGTTGACAAACATGTGTCATCTCTGTGTGGTGGAAGAGACGACTGGAAATACCAGAGAGCTAGTGAGGATATGGGGTAACTAACAACAGCCAGAGGATCGAGGCGTAACCAACACAACACTCTCCTCTCTCTCATCAATCACTTATCAAGGCTTGTGCATAGCTATTTATACTTTTGCCTGCATTACATTTGGGAACAGTGTGGCCAACATAAATTATATTTGATAGAAATGCTAAAATAGTACATTAGATGGAATTGCACCTACAATATATAACATATATGTTGAATTAGATCCATACTGTTCTCAAGTTTTAAGGAAGTAGAATCATTATTCTCATCTTACTCGTGACCGGAAAGCAAAGAAGCAAAAATAATAAGTGTATTTCCAAAAATGTCAAACTAATACATAAAGGGTAGCAAAAGAACAACAGCATCCGTCACATTTTTTGGGGTATGAGCGCTTTCTGGACTACAAATGAGTTTGTATGACGTCCTTTTAGGATGAGGATTGATGTAGTTTCAGATTTTGTGTTTTTTTTAGAATCAGTTTGTGATGGAAAAATGGTTTCAGCGTAAGATTCTTTCTAAAAATGTACCAACAAATCCTTCATCATGATGTCTCAAAGGAATTCTGTATGCTCCACTCATGTTTGCTCATTTGTCCTTACTTTTATTTTCTTTGACACTATCAGACATCTACAGTTAAAACACAACATTTGGCAAAATACAATGATTTGGCAAAAAACTTGTACTGATTGACTCACTGATTCCCTCAGTGAACTGGCAGAAAATGAGCATTTCTGAAGAAATCGCCATGTTCAACCACACACAAACATTTCGTATACAGTGTTTTTTTCAGGACTCCGGCAAAATCAGTGCCAGGTTGGTCAGTATTCAGAGATTTCTGATTCACTCTGCTGCTGTGACACACTCACAGACTGAGACGGGGGACAGAGAAGCCTCAGCTCCTCCATGTTTGATTTTGTGCAAAAGATATTGAAAGAGAGAGAGAGGATGAAAGAGACAGACAACACAAAGAAAAAAAATATTCTGTTCTTAAAGTCACCGACCACATTTGACAAGAAACCATTGACTGTACAATATGAAACCTAGAGTGGCAGTTTCATAGTTAATCTGTGGGACAGTCGAAGTCTAGGATGACAGTTTCTGAACTCACAATAGCTCCATCTAAAGACAGCCACCAGCACAGTGAGTCACACCACTCCACATGAATAAAAGTGCTATATCTGTGCTGCATTTTGGCACGAATTCTTCAATTAGGTCATGCCAACAGGATTACGCCTAATCAAAAAAGAAAAAAAACCTTCTGTGTAAAATGGCCTCCCTTGATGGAGACCTCACAACTAAAACCATTGTCTCCATCGCTGGTTATTCTTTTCAAGTGTCTCTCTCCTTTCACCTTCATTCACAGCCTCTCAAAGCACCGACATCACAGCGAAATCACATTCACTGCCTGTCACCATTTGTATGTTATAAAGAGATTTAAACATTAAAAATATATACAACACATTGTTTCACTTCATTAAATCAAAGTCTGTTTGAGCTCCCTCGGTGTATGGTTGATCCAGATGGTGATTCAGTTCACAACAAGGTTTATATACAGGTTTCTCTATGGCATTTAGAACCATTTTCAATAAGAAAAATAATTGAATTCATCCTTATTTACATGAATGGTCCCTTTGACAGTAAAGAAATGAAAATAACCTGAAAAATGTTTGAGTACTTTGACCATGAAGACAACGGCTCATCTTGCATAAAATGTTAACTTGGTTTTGCACAGTTGTTTCTGTAAAAACGTAACTATCATGTCAATAGCTGCTGAGTGCTGTTGAGATGCATTGTTCAGTGGATTGGCTGTTCTTACAACATTTAAAAGGAATGGGATATCTACAGATGCTGATGCTTTTTGTTGTGTGATCTTGAGTGGTGTAGGCTGTCTGGCAAGCCACAAAACTGTAAACAGGAGTGTAAACAAAAATAAATCCAGAAAACATCTTCACATGCAACTCTCACTTCCCACACAACTCTGAAATGTGGAGATTCAAAGACAGTTATAAGGATAAACTCGCAGTTATCTTTTTCACATCTTTCACATTGTTGCAAACGTGGGCAGATCTCATCTGATCTGTTATGATCTTGATCATCACCCACTTCACCAGGTAACATCGGCTTGAAATTGTTGAAGGTATCAGTGTTAATATTTGATGTCACATTGGCGGATGACAGTACAGTACACACAGCTAAATTGCTTCAGTAATATGCTAATGTTGTGCTCTTTCTCATCACTGTATTCGGTTAAAAATGAAAGATCTCATTTGAATGCAACATAATGAGGTGTCTAGGAGTTTCATAATACAGTATTGGCCCTGTATTGTACGATCATCATCACTGTGACACCATCACATGTGATAATGAACAATTCACAACAGGATTAAAATAGTAACCTCCCTCTCACAGAGCAGAGTCACGTCTGCTGTCGGAGAACAGGTAATGATCACCATATCTCGTCTACAACCACATAACACAATGTCCTTCTGTCTTACTGTACATTTTGTAACGAAAGATAACAGTTGGCTTAGCAGTGCAAATGAAAACTATGTAGGGGGAAATGACAGCTACATAATTCCAAAAATACACAATATGTACATGACACAATTGAACTACTTTCACATTTGAGTTCGGTAAACACTGCATAGGTGACTGTATCACTAGCACAGATGAGATTGTTGTTGTTTTTTTCATATAATGCCTTACTTGAATAAATATTACATAAATATTTGTACTTTTTACGTCAGTCTCCTTCTGCAGCCAACACTATTCAAATGTCCCACTTCATGATAGGTGATATTTAAAGAAAAAAAAACAATAACCTTGCACCATGAAAGCCATCTGTCATACAGGAGCATCCATACAATCAAGCATTCATGCTAATAAAATAACTAAAACGTAAGAAAATAGCAGCAAATGTCATCATGTTAAGCAAAACATGGGTTGAAATAACAATAAAACATGTAGTGCAGATGTAGTTCATCAAAAATAAATAAATGAATAACACAAAAGGCAAAGTACGGTGTAGCAAAATTGGCTTGCAAATAATAATAAAAACACAAGATGGATGTCTCACTGGGCCACTGAACCAATAGAAAAACATCATTTGGGAGCTCTTGACAGAACAGTAATGAACCTTCTAGTTAACTGAAGGACACAAATCTTAAAGCACTGCCTTTAACATCAAAACAAGCACTGCATAGCCCTTCAAAGCACTATTCTCCCCAGTACCACTTGTCAAGGTTATTGAATGCCTTGTACTCCTTGTGCCTACGCAGGTAATCACAAGCCAGGCATGTGTGCTCTGCCCAGAAATAGGCCTTCTTTACTTTAAAGTGCCGCCTCCACTCAAAGTACCTGAGGTACATTTCCTCGTTCTTGTCCAAGAGCAGCAGGTAATCGGCCAGCTCCTTGGGCGAGGTGAAGTCGTCCACGTGGATGAAGGCGTCTCCCTGGATAAAGTTCTCGTAGTTCTGCCGGGGAGGGCCGAGAACCACTGGCACTGACCCCACAGAGAGCGGGTTGTACAGTTTTTCAGTAATGTAGTCCTTGTGGATGGAGTTCTCAAAAGCCAGGTAGAACTTGCAGCTGGCGATGGTGGGAAAGTAGTCCTGGTCAGCGATGTACTCCCCAAAGGCTTGTCCGTACGCGTGAACCTCAATGTGTTTGTACAGCTCATTGTAGTATTTCACACGCACATGGTCCTGGTTCCAGTTGCTCACAATCCAGCAGATCAGTTTGTCTTTGCTGGGTGGGACAAAGTCCTCCTCGCCCTCCGCTGCTACGATGGACCCATAAGGCACTTCAATGTCAGCATCCTGACGGTAATTGAGAGTCAGATTGAACATGTTCTCGATCCCAGGCAGCTGGGAGGAGTGCGATGGCGACTCCAAGTTCATCCATACCCACTTCTGGAAGGATGGTCGCTGGACAGGCGGCAGGTTGGACAGGTCGGTACAAATGTCTCTGTGATGGATGACGACCCCATCTGACTTGTTGTAGAAGTTCCTGTCCGCGGTGATGAAACAGCCCTCGATGTTAAATAGGGAGCTGCACACGCCCAGGTCATAGGTTTGTCCAAAAGGCCAGAGCCAGATCAGCACGGTGGTCACGTTTTTATCACTCTTGGTGGAGAAGAGGCTCTTTTCCCGGTCTGTGGATACTGTTGACTCGACAGGACCTGATAACCAGCTGGTGGATGGTTTAAAATACATCAAAAACAGAGTCACAAAGCATCCCAGTATGAACGTGCCGAGCAGAAGGGGTCGTAGGATTCTGTGGAAAGGTGCAGATGGCATACTCTGTCCTGGAAAGGGCACACAAGAGAACACAAATAAAGTCAGGATCAACAGGAATCGACATCCAGACTAATCACCTAATCATGCACAGGTATTGCCCATTAGCACTATGTGTTAATGATGTCTATTATACTGGGTCATCGACACTAAACATCATTTGTGCCCCAATTAAAAATAGCATGTGAACAGTGTTCATATTCTTGCTGTTATCTATAAGTATGCACCCTGCCGTGCGTAAGGCACCCACTGCTTTGGATCAATACTCATGAAGAAAATTGTGTTGCATTCTCAGATGTATTATTATACAAACCTGGTGGATTTAACTGAATGCTGAAATCCAAGCAAGAGTAGAAGTTGTGGGAATCGGAGGGAGCAGTTCCTACATTGGGACGACGGTGGGATCAATCTTCTTTGTGATTCAGTGCTCATAGACAAAAAAAAAGTGCAGGTCACAGCTCAACTATGCTCCTTTGCTCTTACGCAGATTAACAATGATCCTGAATGATCTAATGAGGTGCGTTTGATCTTGAATGCACAGGTCTTCTTAATGACGCCTCCTTTACGTGAGCAGGGAGAGAAAATTGAGAGAATCAATTAGAGCTGGAGAGACTGAACATCAGCAAAGAAAACAAGTGAGGTTCTGTGCATGAACATGGAGAGATATGCTTGATTTACACAAACTATTATTTTAAATAAGATGGAAAATAAAAGGAAAACAGTACGGTTATTGCCAAATTGCCAATTAATCATGAATGTTATTTCAAATGTGATTGTAAAGCATGGGTGTAAGCTTCAAGCTGTTATTAATTGTTGGCATATTCTATGTATTGTAAGAGAATGCTGCCATCTTAAGGCTGAGGAGAGTAGAAAGCCCCCCGACTCTCCAGCTCTCCGGGGCTAAACACACCTGCATCTGGCATAAAGAAGCCATACACAGAAATAGACATCAAGAGGTGACTTTTTTCACACACTTCAGCAAATAAAACAATGAGACAAGCTCCAACACTTGATTTTCCTCCTGACATAATATGGAATGAATATATTGGCTGTATGACAGCACCTCTTCATATCTCCCATCTGTGAGTAAGGTAAACAGATCAGCACTCAAATGCCACATGAAGCAGATCCAGATGAGTGTATTCCTGTTAAAAGCTTCGGTATCAATACAATTTCATGTAAGCCAATCCTCTTAGAGAGATGTAACATGTTTTCTGGGAGCAGCAGTGATAAGCTCTTTGCTTTACAGTGGATGCAGCGCATGCATATACCTTCATGTGGTTGTGGTGGTATCATATACTTTAAACACAGGGTAGATTTAGAGGCTCAAGTGTACAGTAGTGCAGTACAGATCTAAATCATGGCTATTAAATATGCAGTGTGTGGTCAAGTTTATAGTGTCTCCATGGTGATGGTGCTGAGGTCAGAGAAATTGATATGAGAGGGTAATGGCTCTCACACAGTCCTTATTTTCCCATCTCCAACAAATGAGAGCAGAGTGAGACACGTGCAGCTCAAACATCCATTTACATTTTAAATAACATAACTGGGGTTTTGTCAAATGCATTGTGATGTATTTGGGACACAGAAAGAGCACCGCATGGGTGAGTAGCCTAGTCTGCAGCGAGGAGCCGTTAGATATGACTGGAGAGAGGCAGAAAAAAACGCAACCACAGATTTAGGTAGCATCATTCATAGGGATGCTTCAAATCCCATGGTGTAGTGTCAGTATCAGGTAGACTAAAGGGCCAAAGAAGAGCCCACATTTCCTAGAACATGACATTTCCCCCCTTATTTTCCCTTTGATTTATGTGTGTTCTGCCGGGAAGGCCACAGGAGTGATTGTAAAGGGACACTCCATCCCAGGTGAGAATTAATTTCCAGCCACCGAGCACTGAAGGTCATTTTAAAAACGTGAGATGCTATAGTCGAGGCACTCTTTGTAAAATGGTTGTCTTTGGACATAACACTGCATCTGAGTTGATGAGAATATGGAGAAATTCACTGGAATATTTCATGTGTTGCCTGACAGACAGTGCGCAGCGAAAACGCGCAGAATATAAATAAAAGCGTGGAGGAGGATGCTGAAAAATGTACAGTAGGCTATGTGCGATGCAAAACACAGTGTGCAGTGTACGATTAAATACAAATCACAGTGGAGAGAAACCTTTATATTCCACTAAAGTATGAAACAGTGCATTGAGAATGTAAAAAACGCTATGTAAAATTAACACCACAGGAAAACACCGGTCAGTGATTTTACAGTGAGATCATTTCTAATTAGCTGGTGATGATTCTCCGTCAAAACCAGGTACCGCTGCTGTCATGGGGGTGCAGGGAGGGGGGGGGGGGGGGGGGGGGAGACAGCCATGCATTTCACTCACCATCTCGACAGGCGTGAGTCAAAATAGACCTTTCTTCTCATTTCCCCCAGAGGTCCGTACCCTTTTCAAAGACACCTTGCAACATACGGGAGATGCGGATGCGTTTGGAATAAAAAATCTCGCCCGTCCGCTGTGTTTGCAGGAATAGATCCGGATGAGCACTCATCCATCGTCTTGATCCAGAAAAATATACCTACTGTAGCAATGTGCGCTGAATCTTCCCCGCTGCTGCACACCGACGCAAAGAATGATGGCTGCAAAAAAAATAAAAATAATTGGCTGCTACCCCGTCAGCCTGCACACAAAATTCATAGCTCCGTGTGTGAGGACGCCATGTATGCTCTGGGATGTGATGCGATGTGGAATAATTCCCTGCTGGCTGCCCATGCGCTACCTTGCTCTGTTTACCGTCAATGCAGCTGCAGGCTGTGGCGGATCTCCAGTGTGTGCGTGTGCGTGTGCGTGTGTGTGTGTGTTTGGGATGCTGAGATTTAGCGTTAGTGCATATTACACTTCTATCATTAAGGCTCTCCTTTGAATGAGCGTGTGAATCAGTGCTGCTGCGGATGAAAAGGTTTCCGGTCCCCTGGCCTGTATCGGCTCTTTAACCTGACATCAGTAATAATGGGATGGTTGTGTTGTTCCACGGCTGCCTTTTAGTCATGTAAAGCGATAAGCCAAGGGCTGAACTATGACCGCCTGTCAACCACAACCACTTACTAAACCAAACACCAGTTAAGTGTGCCATTTATGCACATTTTCACAACATTTTCATTTAATTAATCAACTGATGACATAGCCGACAGACTGATGTGTCAGCACATACAGTAAGGTGGGTTGTAATTTTACAAATCACAAAGAGGCACTTCCAAATGTGCCCATCAGCACCATTCAACCATAACGAGTTAAGCATATTGGCTCATTACAAATAATTTAAGGGGCACAATGGCAATTTATTATTGCCCTTCCATAAAGTTGCAGGTTTTACAAGACGCATTTAAGAAGAACAACGGTCAAAATCAAAGCTGCAGAGGCTGAGATATCATCAAAAACACTGGATCCTCCAATTCCTATGATGCAACTCAATGCCTTTCATTTGACCACCCTTCCACATCTAACCATTTGACCCTACTGTACACTGCTTACTCGGCACCACAAAACAGACAGAGTGAGCAACCAGATGGTTATCACAGTGTAGAGGTGGCCAGAAACACTACCATAATGACGGAAATGCTACTTTTACAGCAGGGAAGTTCCAAAATGTAATCAGAAAGGTGTTTACGTGTTAACGCATACAGCCGTTATGACAATGTGTAACAGCTAACAGGCATGTAGAATAGTGTAAATACCATTCCTAAACATTTTTAACAAAAAAAGATTCCAACCATTAGATCTTCTAAATGTTCCCTGCACTTGCTCTGGGCACTGTGCATCTTAAAATATCCGAACTGCTGTCCTGTCATCCCATTGTTGTCGTCTTAGATTTTTGTTATTATTTTTGCAAATATCAAGGTCTACGCTGTGATATTTCTTCTATTGCTTTTGGGCTAAGGCAGAGTTGGGAGCAGAGTGAGGCGACAGATTTGTTCTGGCAGATTGCTTTGTTTACTTTCCTTTCTTTCCAGGACACACTTTATTTAATCTTCTAAGGTTTAATGCAGGCACAGATTACAGGAGGGCATAACATGCCTACGAACAGTTGTAGATGGATACGGTGAAGTCAGTGAGAAAACATGCTGTTTTAAGTTATGATTCCCAAAATACACAAGGATGTGTAAACATTAGAAATAAGACATCAGTTAAATTAACAATAATTTACCCAAGTGTAAATAATTCACGTACATCACTGCAGCCATAATTATGATAATTGAGTTCAATGGCCTGTGACTTTCGAAATCATTAAGCTTTTCTCCTACAACTATTCATCATTTGCATTTTATCGTGCATTTTGCAACTACAACTTCATTTAGTTTATACAACCATGAACTAACATTTGCTATGGCTTTTAGTCAGGGATCAATCCTGCCATTTCCGTCGCTCCCCACCAAATATGGCAGCCCATTTGCGAGTTATCTCCAGGTAGATTGCAGGTTTATTGGGCAGGTAGTCCATATACACAGTCTGACCTGTCTTTGGTATTGCCATTTCAATCTGAGTCCCCTCGTGCCATTCATTAAAAGATGTTATAGAGATGAAATCAGGCCTGGCTTGTAACGCAGCACTCAGAGAGGTCTCGTAGTATTTTCCGTTGATGCGGTTTCGAGTGTTTTGGAAGTTCCAGGGTCGAACGCCTGTGTCAATGTACCCGGGGCCCACACTTAAAATGTATATTAAGTTGTTATCTTCACAGAACGCTTTAAGGGAGTCCCAGTTTCGCTGAGTGGACCCATAGGAAAACCCATTGGTAGCAAAGTAGGTGTAGACACCATCAAAACCTGCAGTTAGGATATCCCTCTTGTGTTTCTCCTCGACCAGCAGGGCGATGAAGATGGCGTCATACGGGGTGTCCCTGATGCTGTTACTATCTGTGTGTTTGAGCAGTTTGCCCCACTGCTCCGAGTTCATCAGATATGAGTCATACACATAGATGAGTGGAAGAAGCTTGCCAGTGTTTGTCCGGTACTTGAAGAAAGCAGGGTGCTCTCCGTATCTGAGAAGAGGAGGCGCAAAATAAAAAGGGAAGAAATACAAATGTCAAAGGAATAAAATGACTGATAGAAACATTAGAATTATTGATCGAGAAACATTTCCAGAGGGAGTTTGAGATTATGGTGCTGACATTTGACTGACAACGATAAAGATGTACTCACTTGTCAATGATGTATTTGACATTAGTTAACATGTTGACTTCATCTCTTCCTTTGTACGGCTCGATGTGAAACGCTACCTGTAAACACAAAAATGACAGCATCACAAAATATTGATGATTTTAGGGAACTACAACAAAATATTTAGTTTGCTGATAACTACAAAACAAAAGGCTACTAAACTCACTACTTTCCTCATACATACCTTAACATGGTATTTATGTGCAACCTCCATCAGCAAAGGCACAATGTCATCCGTTGGTTCACCGTTATCATCCCCCATATTAGGAGGATACCAGGACACAACAAGGACACCTGAGAAAAAAAACATTTTAAACATTAAAGGAAGCACTGAGATCATTTGTGAATAAAGTTAGTTAATCATCAGTAAATGTACTGCAGTGATATTAAATGTGTTGTTAGAATAATACAGATGGGGCAGAAGTGAACATGGAGATAATCATCTTTCATGATATCAGTCAAAATATGGATAATGTATGTGAAAACACAGCTTTAAATGTTGGTCCATCAAAAAAATATAATCAGTTTCAAAAGATAAAAGGCAATATCATTTACTGTAGATGCAGGACTACTGTACACTGTGATGCCCTAAACAAAAAAACAAAACTGTGAAATGTTGTAAAACCTGCCAATTATAATCACTGCATAATGTATCAAACTATAGGGTTGAATGAATGCAACTCAAAGCAGAAATGCTGGATTTTATAATGATATTCACAAAGAAACTCTAGCTGTTAATGTGGATGAATCAGTTCAGATGTGAACACAGTGATGGTTTCATTGGAAAAAGACAGGTGAGAATGTTAAATTGTTTTCCAGTTAAGTTCAGTTTAATGTTAATCTTACCAATGGCTGCTGTGCGTAGCTGTTGCATATGGGACTCTATGATGGCGGGATCCCTGGAGCTATAAGCCCCTAAAGAGGGGTAGAAGTTGGCCCCAATGTCTTCAGGTGGGACGTGTCTTGCTTGTGGATAACCCTGAGCTACTTTTAAGTCCCAGTGAGGCAGCTGTGGGTGGTCCCAGTGGATGTATTTGCCATCAAACTTGGGGTTTCCATACCATGTGTAGTAGAAGGCATGGAGATAGTAGTTTGGAGGAGGGAACTTCCTCAGTGCAGCCTCCAGTTTGTCTGACTGAGCGGAGTCAGTCATTTTGCTCTGAACAAGTTTATTGTCATTTTCTCTCTGGATCTGGTTGTCATTCCTTCTTTCCGGGACCGGCTGTTCACCGACAGGGTTGTCGAACGGAGAGTCCTCAGGTGTCAGCGCCTTTAAGACCACTGTTACTATGAGCACGAGCAACACCAAAGCAATTAATGTGATGCAAGATTTGCGCCTAAACCTTGCCATTCTTCAGTCAGTGCTTGAGGCTTTCCACAGTTCATTGTTGAGACAGCAGTGAGGGACTGTAGCTGAACAGGATGCCATCAATACTCTGTGAGTGAGGTAATGTTCAGCCTGGAGGTTTGAGAAAACAATGCATTTAAGTGTGTTACAAAAGGAAATGGCTGCAACTAAAAACTCTTCAACTTTGCCCTTAAAAATATCAGAAAATAAAGAAAAAATACTATCAGAATGTAATTCTTTTTTAAGTTAGGCAGCAAAATGCTTACATGTAAGAGGTTGCATCAATCCAATATTTGGTTGTTGATTTAAATTGCAAAACAGTTGCTTTAAAAAACAGTGAATTAAAGAGGCACAACGAAGCTAACGAAGCTACATTGTTTTAAATGACTACACACAAGACGGAAGTGCTGTCAGAACGTACAGTATAGTAACAAATGTACTAATTCAGCAAAAGCTTCTTACATACAGTTTAGCGATGCATAAAGACACATTTACTAAACTTACCAGACTTCAACCATACCTATATCGATGAACTTTAGACTTGTCAACAGCAGCCTAGAATAACAATGGTGACACAATATTAGCTTTATCCTCCGACAGGACACCACTTAAATTGTTTTCGTAATAAAACTCTATTAATTGAAATAAAACCTCTAGTGTTAAATACTCAACTACAGTCTTCACAGTTCGGACGACTCTTCATTAAATATTTCGTTGTAAGAGATATGAGAGATGCAGAGGACGGGACACAACCTGCACTTCTGGGCTCGGTTGTTTGCAGATCTACAAATGCTTCAGCAGCGCATGCGCAGTGGCAGCGACACATCCATGTTGTATATGAATCTGATGTTAGAGCTGCGTCAACAACAATGAGAGGAGCAGTTTTACTGAATGAGAATTATACGTGTCGCCCCCATTTGTTTGGTGAGGTGTATTACACAATGGAATCATCACTAACCAATACCAATACATTGTTTTTTATTATTTTCCAAAAATCCTGTTTCGAAAAAAAACATTCCAGCTTTATTTTGTAGTTGCAACTTTTAAAAACGTGCTCATCTCGACCATTGGGCCCAATCTGTGTACACGGTAAGTCAAGCAAACTACAAATATATCAGAAATAAGGATATTGTTTTGTC